AAGCCGTGCAAGACTTACTAGTCCAGCTAGACTGTGTCATCAATTTACTTAGGGTGACGTCGGCAGACAATGAAGCAGATAAGCTATCAAGAGGTCTCCACCCCTCAAAAGGGGTCGATAATCCAATGGAGATAGAGATCCCGTCAGATCTCTCTGGTTTGCTTGTCCAAGTGTTCCCTTCCCCACCATGTCCAACATGACTACAGCTAAATTAACATTACAACAAATCAGTCCTGGCGTACCTCACCCTCTTGACGCTGTGAGTGAAACGATCCTAGAACACAGATGGGCGCCATCCACCACACGACAATACGCAGCGGCTGTACAAAAAAAATTACCTTCATGGGTTGACATTTATTTCCCTTTCCAATGACAGCGTCGATCATCTATCACTTTGTTATTTGGGGCAGCAACACGGAACATGGACACTCAGTTCTCAGCAACACTATGAAACAATACCTGACGGGTCTTTGTATGTGGCACACGCTACACGCGGTACCCTTCCCGTCACTGGACCTTGACCAATTAAGATTTGCTCTCAAAGCAGTGAAGAAATGCAAAATCCCAACAATTAGGAGTACGGGAGCTGGTCTCACCCTCATGGACATTAACCTTCTTGTCTCAAAGCTTCCTGGAAATGCACTACCACAACTAACGCTCCAAGCAGTCCTGCTGGTCGGATTCTGGGGACTGCCTGGCTGGGAGAGTTGACGCTCCACAATGACCATCCAGACGTCTTCATCAGGCGGAAAGACGCAAAATTCTCTTCCGACTTCAAGCGAGCAACAATATGTCTACGATTAGCAAAAACAGCAGCACATAATGAGCTTCAGTTCCTTTGACATGAACAACAGCCAAACTACCTCGACCCCGTCAAAGCAGTAAGGGACATAGTGACACTTACTAGCGGGAGCCCAAACAATCCTTTGTTTTGTGGGGTCTTACACAATCAGCCCATGAGACGGACTACTGTCATGTCTTTTCGGCGCTGATATCAACCATCCGGCAATGAATACTGGTCCGGACACAGCTTGAGGATTGGAGGTGCTTCATTAAGAGTGAGCCAGGGTTGTTCAATAAAATCACTTGAGCGGGCAGGCCGCTTGCGTTCTTCAACTTACAAATTGTATGTTAGAAAGTATAGTTATCGTATACGTACTGAGACCTCCTTGCTAGCTTGTTCCCTGAACCATTTGTCGTAGTATTGAATACGTGCTGCTGCTTTGTGCCAATGCTTAAACTTGTCATTGTAATGAGGAGGTTTTCCTATGCCAGTAATTATCTTTGTGCCAGATGGTGCGTGTTTTGGGTGGCAGTGAGCTTGCCTCAATGAGATTGGGCTTCGAGCCCCTTCGCCGGGTCTTGGCTCATTTGAGCCTTCCCTCTCTGCAGATGGGTTTGAAGGGGCTCTTTCTCCCAGTCTCTTTGTGCGACTCCACTTTCAGGATGCCTCTTGGTGTGCTAGAATTCTGTTGCGAGTTCACAAAGCCCTGAAAGTGAGGTCCTAGGTTTCCACCCAAAACAGCTGGCCTCACTGCTGACCTTTCAGCAGCAAGTCCAGCTACACATGCCAAACCTACTAAGGAGACGGATAAGGCTGCCCATGCAGTGCTTATCCACACTATCTTCCTCCACGCCAGAAGACAAGAATGGATTCAAGGAAGGTATTACTATGCATGTTCTGCAACTGGCTATGTACAGGTGATTCTCTTTTCAGGGAAGTAGAGGAGGATTGACTTTGAGTTGAGTGATTAAGACCGTATTCACTAAATTCTTTCCTTGATTTCTCTCCTCACTTGGTACAGATTTGAGTCTTTTTGTCATGATACTTAAACTTGTCACTGTGATCAACATGACATTATATTGAATCCTGATCTGTGATGATGTAGCAGTAGATTTTCTTCAATTTGATTGGTCAATGGAATTTGCCAATTGGTGACACATTCCACAGTTTGATTTGACCAACATGAACAAATGTCAAAATATGAGAAACAGACTGATAGTTTCTTTTCTCTTACCCGCTCAAAACTTACAATCATATTGTTCCCAAATTAGATGAAATGCCTCCACACTTGGTCCCCAAAATGAAAATAGGGGTATTAGGAAGATGAGGAGTTTGATTTTGATCAATTTGATCAGATATTTGACGGGATAATTGGCTGGAATTCTGTCTTTTTCTGGGCATAGATGTTGGTATTTTGGATTGCATCTTTTGAAAACCTATGGAAAACATTGATAGAAGTGATGAGTGTATCTGCAAAAATACCTCATTAATTCAGATAGTGATTTGAAGGTCATAATATTGATGAAGTTGAGATTGATCAGCTTGATTTGAATGTTGTAGCAAATAATGGTGGCGTTTATATACAACTTGCCTTCTATTATTGCCACTTTTCTTGCAATTTGGCCAATGTAAACTTAGGCAGGAACACAAGGAAACTCCATTGTTGCAATGGACATGGTGTGGAATCAAAGATACAGCAATTCAAAATTGGTTTTCATCAAAAACTGTCCTTGGCTTTCCCTTTTTTGGCTACTGGGATGGCAGGCGCATCAGTGAGGACCACCATCTGCTTCTCCTTTTTTCTTTGCCCTTTCTCCATTTGTTTGTCCTTTAGACATTGACCTGCAAGACTCTCCTTCTGCAGATGATCACTCAATGGAGGAGCCATGGCTGTAGATTGAGTTTGCGAGGGTTCAGGGGGCGAGAGAATCCAGTTAGAGGTATACAACCTACACCGGGTTGTTGTTGATGCTGATAGATCTCCTCTGGCTTATTAGAGGTAGGTAAGTCAGATCAAGGTGAAGCAAGGGGTAAAACGCTAGTAGGACTAAGATGAAGGTTCTGTAATCAATGATTGTGAAGAGAGTGAGTAAAAGTCGAATAAATGAGGGACGATTAAGTAGGTAAACCTATGCCTTTTCCACTTGACTCAAAATCTAATTGTGATCCACCCTCTTCGCCTTCCTAGACTTCACAATCCGCTTGTAAAAGTTCAGCAAATTGATTTTCAGAAAGAGTCAGTTTAAACATAAGAGGTTGAGGTGATTGAGAATTGTTAGTTGAAATTGGTGGGAGTGGTAGATTGAGAAAGTGAGGTAGGGGAAGTTGATTGGTAGGTGATGTGGCCAACATGATGAGTTGTTGTTGTTATGAGTTGATATGATGAGTTGATATGAATGATATGATTATAGTCATGATGAGTTGTTATTCTTGATGAGTTGTTGGAGCTGAAGAGTAAATTAGAGTCCGTTTGGTTGCCTCCGACCTCGCAGGTTGACCCAGCCAAAATCTCAGGTGTACGCTTTGAGGCAGTTTGAAGCGTACACTTGAAGTTCTGCTGTTTGGTACAGACACCATGGGCAACCTTTGAGGAGTCTACCTTGGGGTCAGCCAGCCAAATTTGTCAACCTGCCAGGTTGGACGTTTTGGTCAAATCTTGCAGGTTGACCTGGCTAGTCCCATAGATCTGAAACCACGAGCTTGGGTATGTACATGGCGAAAAAATTGCACTGAAAAACTTGGAAAAGAATCATTCATAAGTTCCCTTTGGTTCAACTCGCTATGCCTCCTAAAACGACACAAAAGAAAGATCAAGGATTGTGATCCTCTCACCTTGACCTCAATTGCGAAGCAAAGCAAAGCAAGAAAACAGTGTGGAGTGGATGCACTGAGTGAATTTGGGGATAAAATTGTCTCGAGCTTGAACTCGACAATCGAAGCACCCCGCTCAACAGTGGACTCAATCAGCCTCAATGCAATAGCAAAGATAGAGAGTGATGATAACATTGATGCATTGATGAAGGCCAGGATAATCACAAGTTTGTCAAAAAAGTTTGAATGTTTGTTTTTTTCAAAGATGATTGATCATTGTTTTTTCAATCCAAGAGAAGACGGATGAGTTGGTTTTTTGCAGCTTTGAGTGATGTTGCACCGAACACATTCTCCGCGGGTACATGCCTTGAGGCAGACATGGTCTGCCTGCGGATCCGCAGGTAGACGCCTCGCAAGTCCACACCTGCAAGGTTGGAGGCAACCAAACGGACCCATAGCTCTCTTCAAAGCAAACCATTTCCAGATCCAAAATCTGGTGGAGATCACATTAGCCAATGCAACATCAAGTTCAAAATGGTTTACAGGCGTGGGTTGTAGCCTTGGCTTCAGTTTGTGGAAAGACTGGAGTGTCAGAGAGTAGTGGCATGTGGAGATGAAGATAGAGATATCAGGCCAGCAATAGCATTATGAATGTACCACAAGAATGAGCAGTGGCATAGCATCAAACACATAATTGATGTGGTCTGCCAAGGGAGAAGAAAGTGGCATGGCCTTAAATAATAATCATTCAAGTATCATAGCAACATGAGCATGGTGATTTTTTTCACACTAACATACTTTTCTTTATTATTATAAGGGATACTGCTATCCTATAGCTTAGTACTGCTGTACTATAGTAGTACTGCTGTACTATAGCACAGGTATAGTATAGTGGCACACTTGATATTTACAGGTCTAGAACAGGTCTGGAATTTTCCCTGGCTCCTGATCCCACAAGGCACCAGGTGCAGAGCTTGGCTTGAGGGTGGTGTGTGGTGGCGCAAAGAAAACAGATGGGTGCACCTGAGACAATTTGAAGGTGTGAGAGGGCTGGAAACCCTGGACATTGCATGGATAAGTTTCAAGGGTGCACTCACCTCCATTCAGGAGTATGCACCCCCTTTGACACACCCACACCTGACATGTACTGAGGCACTAAAACTGTGGCACGTCCACAATTTGGCCCACAGGTACTTCAAGTGTGGATGTATAATGCCTGAGTTTGTACTCACAAGAGTATTTGGAGGATCTAGTATGAGCATAGGTAAGAACTGTCCAAGTACTGGGTAGGCATCACTCAAGTCCCACAGTCAGTCAAGCCTCTCCACAATCAACAAAACTGTGATTGATGTACTAGACTTGTCAATTTTTTTTGCTGATATGAGGGACATTTTGAAATAACTACTCATAGCAAGAGACCAGCCCCTGCCCCACTCTCCCACCATTGATCCTTGATCAAGTCTTCATGTACAAGTATGACCTGACTTTCTTCTACCATATCCTCGGCTTTTGTTTTACTATCCACTGGGGGAGGATCTGTGACAGTCTTGGCTCTTGACCACAGCAAAATTGACCCTTTTTTGGAAATTTCGGGTTCGCCATTGTAGTTAATCTGAAACTTATCAAAAAGGATGCTGTGCTTGTCGCGTGATAACGTTCCTTTGAGTGAAGCGTGGGCTTCGGTGTGCGTTTGTTTTCCGCGCTGAACAAGCGCCCAAAAAGTAGTGTTGTAGAGATTATTGATGTGCGCTTCGAGTGAAAATGCAAGGTTGATCAACTGGTGGAGTGTCTAAAGTTGAATTCAGACATCGCTTACCATCCACTTGCCGCCACTTAAAATAGTCCCGTAGTTGCTGATCGGTTACATATTGGATGATTCTACATATCAAGAAGCGATCAACGTTAGCTCTCATGAGTGAAGCCTCATCAGTTAGGCGGCTTTCAGGCGAACCTTCCATCAAAGGTGGGTAGGTTATGCAATTCCAGAGGGCTTTCCGGAAAGTATTGAGGCCAGAGGTAAATATATGCAGCCGTAAATGTCGACAACACGGTCGTCAAGAGCTTGCTATGGCATTTGTAGACAATAAGTGGCGAAGCTGGGGATCAATCATTTACCCCATAGCTGAGAATGACGAGTGTACTTACCTGGCTCGACGGTTATAGGCATCACATCCTCGACTGAACGCAAAGCTGTACTCATCACTCTGACCATAAGCCAAGAATATACCTCCGCCATTGCCTTTCCGCCCGCGCACGCCTTTGCCAAGATCGGACTCCACCACACGTTTGGCCGCTTCATTCATGAGCGACAACGCTCGTTGGTCGTTCGGCTTCTCGAAAGCGTGGGCGCTCGAAAATCTGCATGTCAAACGGGAAAATGGAAGGAGGGCTATAGCGATCAATAAATAGAGGGTAGATTGATGTCTCGAAGTTGTCCGCCGCGGCGTTGGAGAAAGCAAACTTTGTGAACCCCTTCCCATCTAATCTGATGACTGCAAAGGTCTGCGGAAGTAATCGATCGTCGAGCTCAGATAAGCGGACATAACCAAATTTGGAGTTCGCCATTCGAGATGTGAGGCCAAGCAAGTTCTTGTAGCCTCAGGCAGTTGAAGTTGTTGACGCTGGTGAACCTTCGCATTATTTCGTTCCAAACTTGAAAAAATTGAGATCCCAATTCCGGTCTAGGCTGAGGTCGAAGATCTGGCCCCGTCTAGCACCCGACGAGCCCGTGAACCCAGGGAACGCACCCACCAGTGATCAACACCCGCACTCGGAAAGTAAATAAATTGGGTCTGACTTTGCGCACACCACCCCCAACAATGCCCACAGAATCTCATTCCACTTCCTCAGGCAGAAGAAAGGACAGCAGCAGCTCGCCTCGAACTAAGAGACGTGGTCATCATGCCTCATCCAACAACATCGAACCAATCCACCCTCAAGATGACTTTTACTTAAAATCTGCCGAGTTCAGACTATGGCTGAAGGAAGAAAAGAACAAATACATCGATCAGATTGATACTGATAAAGCGCGAACGTGAGTGAAGCAAATCGTTATCAGCCCATCCTTTGATAAAATCTGAATCCCCTTCGAATCACATAGATATTTTGCCAAATTTGCTCGACATTGGAACCGAGGGAAGCTTGATTCGATATATTATGAGTGTAAGCAATGCCATGTTCGTCATCATGAGAATTAGCATAACTGACGAGAGAGACCTGTGGACATCTTAAAAATGGCTACGCTTATTGCCCAAGGGCATAATGTTCGGGTGTGTATACGTTGCACTTAATCGATGATCAAAGTGCCCATTCATCTAAGGGCATCTACCACCGCTAGTTCATCACACACCTGGTCTTTTCAAGAACGTTCGACTCTAGAAAGGGAAAAGGCACAAAATGCTCGACACGAAGCCGTAGCTGGGCCGCTCAATCCAGCTCCAATGAGCCAGAAGCCGTTGATTGGCCCACCTCGTCCTCCTCAGATGGTCCCCGCGTCGACTTCCACCGCTCGTGTTCAACATCGCTCAGAAGAAGACGGCCAACAATCTTCTTCATCGTTACAAAGAAGAGCTGACGCTAAACGCAAAAGGAACGATGAACGGGAGGAAGAACGTAGTAATCGAGCCACAGGTAAAGATAGATTACTTGAGAAGAAGAGGGAGAAAAGGGAGGGAAACACAAACTACCAACGTGAACAAGAAGACAGGACAGCTGTTGATCTCGACGATCGAACCATGTTTGGCACCGACTCTTCATTCCAAGCTGCGTATGTCATATCTTCTTTTGACATACTCGTCTGTATAAGTTGCGATGACTGTCTAAAACGCTACAATGCCATTGTTTTACTTCGGATTGTGTAGTGTTCGAGAGAGAGATCGTGCTGCAGCCAGACGCAACAAAACAAATTTTAAACAAGAGAAACAAATGATCCAAGACCAAAAGATTGCTGTGAGTGTTTTTTCCTGACCATCGATCACTTCACCTCGCTCGTTTTCCGATCTCATTCACTTTGAACAGGTCATGAGATCGAAAGAGGATGATACAATGGCAATGCTAAGAGCCCTTGCAGACTCGAAGTTCAAGCCATCGGCTTAATGTATTAATCACACCCTCGCCCTCGCAGGTTTCCAGCGTACCTGGATGACACGCTATTTAGAAACAATTTATCTTTCTTTGATGTCTCATTGTCCGATTTGTATTACAATGACACATGTGTGTAGTATCTTCAGATGGCACATGTTCTCGATCATATTGTTCATTTGAACTTAGAGCATCTCCAACGCAGACCTGCAAACGTAACGTTTCAGACATACACGTAAGGTGTATTTTACGTTTGCAGGTCTAGGTCACAAATCGACCATCCAGCGCGGTCTGGAAACGTAACAGCTCACCATCTGTGTGAGCCTCAATATCCAGCAAACCCTGTTTCACATGGTCAGAGCATCCCCAACGCGCCGGGAACTGGAAACCTGGTACAGGTGTCACAAATGACACTTGGACACCTGTATTTCAGCTTCAGCTTCAGTAGGCAGCACCGCGCAAGCTGAATAAAAGATTTGGTTTTCTACCCCTGTCTAAGGATAGGACACGATCAGATCAATCGCATGGATTGGCCGCTTGATCTGATCGAGGTTGTGGTAATTTGTGCTTCAAGCTTTGAGATAGGACACGAAGGAACGAAAGAGGCGAGTTTCGTGGTCTCAACGTGTCCAAATCGTGAGAAATCACGTTTTCCGAGGTTTCCGGCTCAGCTAGAAACAATTGGAACAAACCGTATGTATTCCAGCTGGCGGAATAAACGAAGTCGCACCCATGGCCAACTGTGCGACCTTTTACTCGCGCTGGAGGCTGTTTTTCGGAAAATCTTTGCAAACATAATTTTGACATTACGTTTCTGTCAGAAATGCTAGGTAAACCCTATGTAAAGGTTACGTTTCCGGCGGCGCGTTGGGGATGCTCTCCACAGTGTCATCTGAAATTGCGCCGGACGTCCGGTGAGCTCCTTTTGCAGCAGTCGTCCGTCAATAATGCATAGTTTTTCGCCGATTTTTATCAACTCAGCCCTCTAGCGACGTCGCTCAGGACTTGATCAACTCAAGCATGAGTTTTCGTGCTTGAGCTGGACTCTCTGAGTCACTGAGCATTTTCGATGTCTGACTCCCACAGATATCAATTGTTATTGTCAACTTAGTTTTTACGGGTCGCCATCCAGAGCTGGACGATAGCAATGACAAAATCTGTCAGCCGGGCCGGCTCAAGTTTTTATCGTTCATACACTCATGTCTGCCGGCGACCAGTCGCACAAAGCCCATGAAAGTATGGCTTCCACAACCTTTCCCGCGTTGAATCGCGTATGATGTCCACTCACCTGACATACCCACTATGCATATGGTGATAAACAATTTCGAATTTCACGAGTATCGCGCCAAGCCTCCATCCATCCACAAAATTGAGCTGTGAAGGTGTACCCATAACCAACTTGAACCAAGCCTGACAAGTCATGCTCACACTCATCATCTTTGCTCCACTCACGATTGTCGCACTGAAGACCCAGTATCATCTTCTGAGACCAAATTTCCCGACAATCTCAGAATGCTTTCTTCAAAGGCAAGGACGCTCACTGTGGGAGAGATCAAGGTTCTTTGATTTGCCTTCTGAGACGAGTCTTTCAACTGAGTTATGTGGTGCCCTCCTTTCCTCGGGACCTTTATTTGTGGTTCACAAAGCTTATAGATTGTTTGCCTTTTGGGACAGCCCAATTTCTTTCTTCACATGTCAACTGCCGCACTATACGGTAAGCTGCACTGCTCTCAACTAACACGTGCAAAACAATTTGGACAACTCGGCAGGAGGATCTTTTGAAAATTATTTGACAAGGTTGTAATAGGTGATGTTGTATTTATATATCTTGATCTCTAGAACAACAATCAAGTGATTGGTCAGTTTGAAATCGATTTCTTGTGAAATGATATGGGTTGAAAATTACGCACATCTGCTAAATCATTTCTTAAATTTGTGCAATTGCTTGATTTAATTTATCAAAAAGACCATCCCGAAGTCCAATCTCAAGTACCTGACCTCTAGCTGCCAGTGCCTAAAGAACCGGGACAAACTCTTTCGAAGTAGATCTTTTTTCTTCTGAAATTAAATCAAAGACTCAACTTGTTTATTTAAGAAGAAACAATTATAATTTTATGACCAATTAATCCTAATGTATTACATATTTCTACACAGCTTAATAAAAATCATACTCGTCATTTCAAATTCCATCCTGATAAAATTGATGATGTACCCAAGTTTTGATTGATTTGATTCCATAAGATTTTGATTTTTTATCCGGTTTTGAGTGATCTCGTATTGGAGTTTACTGTTTGGCTTGACCTTTTTCCGAATCTAAAAGACCATTGCAAGAATGCTGGGAGCAACTGGCGTATCGGTCGAGATAGATTGTGGTGGTGAGGGAGAATCGTTTTGGATCTACTTCTCCCGAGAGCCTGCAACCAGCTCTTATCTCACGGGGGTTTCAGGGCGCATGTTGTGCGAGTGAAGTTGATTGTGAAAGTGATTCGGAGAGCTTTCACGGAAGGGTGAAATTCTGGGGAAATGGGCAAGTGCGTGGCACTGGCAGTATTGCCAGTAATCTCCCGAAGGCCGGGTGCTCCCATCTCTTTGACGGTCGGGTTGTCATTTTTTGGAAGAAGAGGGCCGGGTTGCAGGGATACTTACCCTTACATATGTACCTACCTGCATCCAGTGGCTAGGACTGTTCAAAGGAGAGTGAGGTCTATGGCTGGTGTTGAGCAGCTCGCACTCAGCCCGCTGTGCCCTGGTCATCCTCAGATGATGATCAGAGCTCTGAGTAAATACATAAAGGATGGGCTCGCCTTCCCAGGCTCAATCTCATCTGCGCAGGAGCGCAGGGGCGGGCGCGTTTTTGCGGAAAACACAAAAAAATCGGACTTTTTGTGAACTTCAAAGCTCACCGGACGTCCGGCGCATTTTCAGATGACACTGTGTCTCAGTACTTGAAATATGAAGTACCAACCGAATATTTGCAGCAAACTGTATTGTCCCAGTATTGGACGTACATTTGGCACATGTGGTGATAAAGTCACCACATGTGTCCTATTTTCTCGTTGTCCAACCAATTGATGGCTATTTGGTGGCTGGATTGGGTGAGGGTTTGGCAACTTGGGCAGCTCAAAACGACTCAAAAATTTATACCGATTTGCGCGTTGGATGGAACGAAGCTGGATATAAAATACAGCTGTCAAAGTTTTTCCAGCAAGCTTTTTTTGGCTCTGTATTCGGTTTACAGATCAGGTCCGCGGTGGAGATGCTCTTATGCAAAGTTCAATCTTGTCCGCGTCCATCTGTGGGACAATCTTAGTGGTCAAGCCTTTAAAGTCACAGGACTTATTCAAAGTCTTTGTTGTTTTATCTACAGCATTGCCTGATGCTGATACATACTCCTGAACTGGTGCAATTTGCTCTAAGCCGAACTTGGGAAGTGACGCGTTGCCTCGATCTATAGGTCTAAACTTCAATCTCTGGTACGAAGTCCATAGTTGACTAGGCCTGTAAACTTTGAAGCTCAACTCCACCTACATGTGGCCGAGCATTCATGATGACCATTTCCAATCTCTGCGCGGTCTGGTAGCGAGAACTAAGGATCATTGAAAGCCAGTCCAGGAGTTCAAAGGCAAAAAATAGCTTGTAAGTAGACAAAGATAGGATTACGCATTTTGTTCCGAAGAGCTTAGCCATCATTGGACCATCTGCCATCCTGATGATAGATACTAACAATTCTGGTATATACAACTTAGAATATCAACTGCTAGCTCCCAAGTGCGTCAAAGGAAAACCTGGCCAGAGAATGTACAACAATTCCTCAAGATAGGTATATGGATGAAGAAGCACTCCAGTTTCAGACGAAACAGACATTAAGCCGGGTATACATTATGAGTATATATATTGGATCATGCAGCACGGGGTTATACGTGTGTCAAGCGAAGAAGTATTGAGATTTCAATACGGCAGCAATCTCTAGATCTCCTTTGGGTGGTAAAGGTGGAATCAAACTAGCTAAATCAACATATCTCTTCTCCTGACTCATGATTTTGTCAACCTCCACACCCATATATTTTAAATCGCTCAACATCTTGGCACTCAAAGAACTCCGAGGGATCTTGTAGCCGCTATATCGATGTAAGGTCTGTTGGAGGATGAAAAGCATCAGAATTTTTCCATCGCTCTGAACTGACGTTCAGACTGAATGGTGTGGTTTTCTCACCTCTTGTGCCAAGTTTTCTAGAATTTTGGCCGTGTGAAGCCGCACAAACGCTTCCCTGAGTTTGACATTCATGACGTCCACATCTGCTGCATGAGTCCAGTAGGAGTCGTGTACGGAGGCAAAGGTAATGTCCTGTGTAGCCCAGGATTATTGCACAACATTTTACTATAAGTTTGGCGAAGAACTCAAGGCGAGATGAGCCATGTGTGGGAACATCATCCACATACCTTACAAGCAAGTGCTGTGAGCATCATGTGCGTTGCATCCAATGAATGAATGAAGTTAGGCGGAAAAGCCGAAGCCTGACCTCTAGAATCAGCCTGTGCAGGCTCAAACGGATCTGCGATGTAGACGGTCTGTAGTACAGTCGATATCTGAATATGGTGAAGACCGGTATATCAGTGCCTTTCGGCGCGTTAAACGATATCAAACCTGGCATAGTCGTGGGCGTACCTGGGTTCGATTCTGTGCTCGATACGGTTGACAGACCACTAGGCCTAGTGGAGTTGTCCATGTCATACTTGTCATTAACTCGGTCTCATCTTGTGCCTTCTGCGCATTAGCACTAATTGATTGTCCCGGAACGTCCACCTTTGTCATCAACAAGGATGCTCTTTCGGGTGGAATAGATTTTGCTACAAGACGAGCTACGTATGTAAGCCATCGCTGTATGGCGACGGCCCCACGAAATACTTCGCCAATGGATCGCAAGACCTGTCATGCACTAAATTCAGCATCGAACTTCTCATGATTGAGCCGTCGACGCAAACTCCAGGCTCACCAACGTTGCGACATATGCAGCCGATATGTATAAGTTGGGAACCGGTATAACACCTAAGTCTTTGAGTTGTCTCCGGATTTGTTCCCGAGCTCCAACAAATGTAACCCCTGCATCGAAAATGAAGAACCATTCACATTAGACTTCGCGAAATCGGAATGGCGAGGGCTTGAAACACATGCATACCATAGACTGTGGTCATCACCTGCATGAAAACCAAGACAAGTCATTATCATTGTTGAAAAACACGTTTTTGAACTCAAATCAAAGTCAAGCGGAAGACTAACGGTTTGTTTGACAACCTTTCTTTTGATATGACCTTTCAAGGCTTTAGCAATGTCATGTCCATTCTCAGCGTCCTGGTTAACCAGTTTGTTTACTTCGGTGGCTACCTTGCTGTAAACGTCGCCGGGACGAATACCAGGGATCAAGTTCACTTCACGACCCCCTTCAACATCTCCACCTAGTGCAGCATAATGTTGTAAACCATTGCAACTACCATCCTGATGAACAGGAAGACGCGATTTATACTTTGTTGGGTCATCGGAGCGCAAAGCTTCAGTAAGTTCGATACAAGCCGCCAGAGTTTGCCAAGGATCTTCAGATTTGAGCCACCATCCTGGGCCCTGAGAACAAAAATGTCGACTTTCAGAATTGACATGATAACAGTGCGGAGCTCAAGATGCAGCAAATGCTCGTATGGATTGGGAAATCAGGAGATATTTTGTAAAAGTCACAAGACTTACGTCCAATGGATGATCCGCCGAATCGTTGATGTCTTTTAAATGTCCTTCAGTAAATGCCAATCGCTCATCCAAACTTGCCTTGTCATACCCAGCCTTATTTGCGAGATGTACTTTGAGCCAAAATAATCCCCTCTCCCCTAGTTCCTTTCTCTCAGCAAATGTCAATAATCCTCGGGAGATGTCGTCACCAATGTGATTCAAGTTGGCTGGAAGTGGATACGCCCTACCACGAAAATCTACATTATGAGGAAAGTAGAATGTTTCATTTAAATACTAGTGCCAAAGAACTCTTCGTCAATACTATGCATATGATTTGGTTCAAATTGAGATGTTGCGCTTACAGCTCGTGCGATCTCGAGTTGATAGTTCACTGAACACCGCTGTCCATAAGCACTCCTTCGAGTAGCCAACAGGCTGCGGTAGATTTCCTTTCGCTCGCCTTCCATTCGAGGACTTTCTTGCGATCCGTCTTCCAGGGGATCGTTCTTCAGTAGCTCGGATTGAAGGTCGGATACATCAAGGTTAAGATGCGGATCACGGACCGGGATTCCGGCCAACTCTTTTCCAGAATTCCATACTACTGCCATGACATCAAAGACAGGCCGGTTGATGGCCCAAGCTGTTTGACCCAGCTTATCCAGTGCTTGAAATATGTCATCCAAGCCATTTAATCGGTGGGCCTCCATGACATGTAGGTGTTGCTCCGGCGAGTCCTTCGTTCGCATGAATGGTGCTGAGAAGGGTACACCGTAAGCATTGGCTAGAGTGACGCAAGGCAATCAAAACACATATCGACTCACCTGCATGGACAAGGTATGCCCCATTCTTCGGACTAGTCCAAGGCAATGGGGGCGATATCATTGGTAAGTATCTTGGATGCAAAGTGACGTTGGCAGGGTCTCGATCCAGCCTTTCGGCAACAGCTTCATTGAGTTTTGTCACTCCAACTCGTTTGCCATCAAAGTATTGAGTCGTTTGATAGAATGCGGGCTGTTCTTCCTTGCTATCCAAAGTTAAATGTACATCGTCACTCACAATAGTCAGTATACGAAGCAGCCTACTAGAGTCGACGCACAATTTCAAAGCCAGATGAAATTGGTAGTATCAGTCACTGACTAAATCGATCCATCAGGCATTACTTGAGATCTAGTGATTTTCGCTGTCTGTAAGAGACCCTTCATCAACATAGCTCCAACTTTTGCTCTTTGATTGATGGTCCAATCCGTGTGTTCACCCTGAACAGCGGCTAGATCACCAGCATATTTTCCAATTTCACGTTTCCAAAGTTGCCTGACGATTTTGTCTAAGCTTTTGGGTACATCTCCAACTTCTGGCTGAGAAGACTTGATAGTATGAAGCAGCTTCTTGTTCAGTTCGGGTATGGATTTCACAGATTGGGCATACCACTCGTTTTCAATCGATTTTCCCATGGCGATAAATAAGCCAATAGACTTTGCGCCGTCTGTGATGGTGCTGTTCGTCATCTCTCGGATCACTTCGACAACTGCGACCTTGGCGAGTAATGAGTTGTCTAGAACCCGACGAAAATTGATGTCAAATGCTGATTGTGGGCCCGTGCTTTTCAACGCTGCATCCATATCGCACTGATCAAACCACTTGACTAGATCTTGCCACCACCGCCACATCCATGCTTGTAAGATCTTTCCGCCGTCGCCGTTGCTTAGACCCACGCCTCGGCTTCGTACCTCTTTCAACCCTTCAAACCACTCTGCTTGAGCAGAATCGTAGCCAGAGTACTCCAACACCATCTGACGATCATATTTGCTTGAAAAAGCCGCAGCAGAAGATTCGGGTATGGTGGATACATTGGACAATAGATGACTCAGTCTCATGGGTATCATTCTTTCTGCTGACGGATCGTCGCGCTTCGCCGGCTTGAAAAGAATGATAATGTTAAGGGACTTATATAAATTGTGAGAGGCTGGATTGGGCAGAAATTTATACTCACTTTCCTCACAGGACTCAACTCAGAAGGCGGCGTGAGTGAAGACTCTTTGAAGGTGGATTGTGTGACATTCTGGTTCTGAAGAGAGTCTTTCCATAAGGCTTCGACATGCGCGAGTTCAGCTAACACATCATCACGGTTGGCACTAGTAGCTGCCCTTCTGATGAGCGCAAGCGCCTCGTGCTTTTCGAGCGGTCCGAAAAACGACTTCGTGTGTGATGTAGAAAACGTGATTGAGTTGAGAATATTTAGAAGGGTGGGCGCCTGGCTAAAGGAATTCATAGGAACATATTCATTTGATAATGAATGCGGTAATATCCAAGGCATGTAATCGAGAGCGGTATGTGAAGGTTCCTGTAGACTGGAGATACATGAGTGTCGTGGTATGATTAGATCGTAACAAATCATAGTGAGTCAGTGAACCGATGAGAATCAAGAACGTAAGTTGAACGAGCTCTTCAGCGTACCAGAGAACACCCTTGAGTACCCCGGCAAGGAGGTGATGATCAACTTGAGCCCACTCCAGCCCGTTATAACGAAAATTCAGAAGCCAATGAAACACTTCGTCTTCGTGCTTTTTCTGTCGCTCTCGATTTCCCAACTTTTCCTGTTTGACTGCTTCATTCAAGAGATTTCGTAGTAAGCCACTGAAAAGGGAAGTGTTGACGACTTCGTTGAGAGTTGGAAGATTTTTTGTCCTGGCTTCTTTCGATCGAAAAACTTGGGGCTGGTTATCAACGTAGCCGGATGGGTTGTCAAATGGGTTTTTTCTGATGTATCCCAAGCTTTTTTCGAGTTCAAGAATGATCGTCTTAGCTCTGGACAAATCTCCAATCCCCACAGCAACATTAAGTTGACTAAGTTGCTCTTGAGCTTTTGAGGATTGATGACCGTATTGATGCTGACTAAAGTCGATCAAATCAGATTTAGATCTAGGAGTAGCTGTCGGTGGTAATGGCGGCCGGAGGTATTGCTCTTGCGATTTTTGTTGACCATGGGACATTCCGAAGAGGATAGGTTTATTTACACTTTCTGTTTGATTGATTGAGCCAGATCGCCACCCCTCCTGCGGGTTTTCAACTCCATGCTGAACTAGATCGGAGGCGGATGAACTTGAATAACGTGAGTGTGGATGAGTTATCCCCTGCGAAGGGAAAGGCGAGGTTGAGAATTGAGGAGCGTAAGTTGTTGTCCTTCGTCGGCAAGACGCTATTTCACCACGTCTAGACTCCCTTTGTCCCCTCGTCAATAAGTGTTTAGAGCACTTGAGAATGTGCGTGCAGGGGGTCGTGAATGAGTTCTTTGTACTCCTTTGAATGGTTTGTGGTAAAGTCTGCGGTTCCTTGAGAGTACGAAGCAGTTCACGTAGTTGAAGTTGACGAATGAGAGCTGCTGAACGAAGTAACTTCATGGTGTTGGTGAAAATCACATTTTTTTAAATATCAGATTTCAAGTGGTTTCTTATGTTACAGGCGCAATGTGCGTTATGTAGAACTTATTTAACCCTAACTTACAGATGTTGTATTGTACACGCACGCACACAAGTTTAAAATCGCACAAATAAATATGTACCTGTTCCAACTTCCATGAGTCATGTTCATGACTGACTCTGCTCAAGAAAGCGTTGCGGACAAAGAGTCGCTGTTTGCATCTACATACTAAATAGTTATGCATGTGGAGCATTTACTGGGGTCAAACCAGACCTGGGCCCGGGCCTTGTCTTCGTTCTTGCCAATCATGACGTGATGTTCAAACTTAGTGGTGTCAGTGTGTAAATAACACGTGATCTGTACAGTCCTCCATCGTATAAATTGCAATTCGCCAGTGCCATTGGAATGATTTTAAACCAATCGTCTTCCGCGACTTTGGTAGCGGGCGAATCGAGCTTACCAATCAATCATGTCTGCTGATCGCGAGACCCGTACGTTTCAAGTATTTCACTCGCTGGTCAACTTGGTCTGAATATCAGACTTACTCAATGTGAATATGTTTTGCAATTCGAAATCATTGGCCAGTTTTGTCGTTTGGCTACCCAGCGTGAGTGCAGTGTCTCAGCTGCGAGTTTCAAGAGACTGATTGTGGTTCATTGTCATAATGTTTGACAGGACGTTGGTTGCCGAAGCGCTCAAAAAGGTTGGTCAACCAGCCTTCCATCAAAGTTTATTGCACGTCAATATATACATGCTCAAAACCATCCTCCTCGTTGGTTTCAGACAAACAACTCTGGCCTAGAACCCGCCTTGGATTGGCTCCAAAAGCACGAGGAAGGAGCACTTGAAGCGTCGGAGAAAAAAGACGAGAAAGCTTCCGACTCTGATGTAGCGATGGCGCCAAGCAAAAGCACGGCAGGACAAGCCAAGGTGAGAGAAGTCTATAAAGCCTCGTAACGTACGTTGTTAATTGATGATCTCATTTCTATTCTAGACCTTGAAGTGTACCGATTGCAACAAGATTTTCGCGAATCAAGATTTGGCTAGTTATCACGCCGATAAAAGCGGTCACATCAATTTTGAAGAGTCTACCGAAGAAGTGATTGGTATTTTACTGCTAAGTAGATGATTCGATGCTTCCTCAAGTACACCTCTTCATGGAAGTATGTCAGTGTCTCGTTTCTGAAATCCCATCTTTCGCCTGGTTCAGATCAAACTGGCTACTGAAGAAGAGAAGGCACTCCGCTTGGTTGAGGTAAGGTACCTCCTTTTCAGAATTTTTGACCTTCTCAGACCACTTTGGTAATTAAAATGCTTCGCCTTGACGATTCAGTTGCGCCGTAAGATGGAACAAAAACGTGCTGATAGGATGCGGACCGAACGTGTTCAACAAATCGGTGAGTAAACTATTTATCGATCGGGTGAAATGAAGCGAAGAGTTTGTAAAAATCGCTGTTAACAAGTTTACATTCTCCTTTATCAGAAAATGACCGTCTTCGAAGGAAAGGTGGCCAAGAACAAGCCGCCATCAAGCACGATTTGCAGCTCAGAGAAGCTGCACAGGAAGCGGCGCGAAAAAAGAAAGACAAGATAGACGAGGTTGCAGCCAGAGCCAGAGTCAAGAAGCAAATTGAAGAAGACAAGCAGCTCCGCGCGGAAAAAGCGGTCAACGCAAAAGCGTCTGTATTCGTTCCCTCCGTTTTCTGATTTGATCACCATCTCGGGAGAGCAACCAATTCGAATACTGTATTAACTTGCTTCTCTATATGCTGCAGCAAATTTGGCGGCGTGGCTCCAGCCATCAATATAACCTCATCTAGCAATATCGGCTCACGACCATCTATGCCTCCCTCCAAACCGTCTGCGCCATCTATGCCTCCCTCCAAACCGTCTGCGCAATCTAAGCCAGCCAGAGTCTACGAGGAAGGTAGACTTCAACTTAGGCTACCTGATCAAGAAAAAAAGCCAATCTCCTTGGAGACAAAGCCAGATCAAACCTTGGTTGAAGTAGTCGACATGCTCTTCGCTCACCCAGATTTTGTTGACAGCGCTAGACTTGACAAGAGAGCGATCAAGTTTTCTACTGTCTATCCTCGGAAGACATTCGATGACGGTGACATGGCTAAGTCTGTCAAAGTAGGTTGTTGTTTGCTGGTCTCCCTAATCTTCGAGGGCTTCGCTGATATGCTCCTCTCAAAATCCCATGAGCACAGGATTTAGGCTTGTTGCCCGCTGTTGTACTCATCGTGAGCTACAACTGAAAGTGGTATGGTATGTAGTATCAGTACTAGCGAATGTCCCACTGGCTGCCGATAGTATCTCAAACGCGAAGGAGCGCTCTTCTCCCGTCGCTGTATGAACTTATTTGTTTGCCTGACCAGTGCAATGCAAGTACACCATCAGTTCATGTAGTTAGAGCATCCACTATCATGAGGGTAATTTATCGTAAATTTTGCGTTCCTGAGCGCAAAATTTGATCATGCGTGTTTTACCAAAGTTGGCAACCGCATGAAATCCACTACGGATTGATGTAATGTCTGAATTACCAACGATAAATCACTGTAAATCAACCGGATCCACAGTGGTTTGATTTTGAAATGAAATATCTATCTTTTTCATAAAACTTCATCCAAAAAACCACCCATCACATGCCCGCTACAAATTCCTTGAAGACACATATCAACCATCTTTTAAGTCTTCAAACAACAATGATGAGGAACAAGAAGAACTTGACCAACTTGTCTTTGAATTCTTGTTTGATAGGCCTCACACACCACCTTCACCTCCTCAGACTTGAACCCGGATAGATCAAGATTGAGCTCAGGTATCTCACAAGACTTTAAGATGTATCTTGTACATTCAGATTTCAATGTGGCAGAAGTTAACAAGGACAACCATATCTTGTGGTTAGTTAATAATGATAATCTACACAAGTTTTATGTAAAGTTAAAACAAGAAGAGTGTGGGTCACTTTGATGATAGGAAAAATATCAACCCTTGATTGAAATTGATCCGATTTGAAGTATGATGTTCCAAAATATGTTGTATCGAAGTTGAGTTTTGAGGAAGGACTTCGAAGTTTGAATTTGAAGTCTTGAATTGTGATGTTTTGAAAAAAGTGTTTTTTTCACCCTTTGTGCCTGATTTTTTTCCAATGCCATGGCGGAGATTTATAAATTTTCAGACAACTTAGCAGATCGCAAATCGGTGAACCACCTCTAAAGGTGGTTCATCAACTTTAATTTTTACTTAAAATTTAATGATTGATGGCACCCAAAGGCACGACGGTACCATCTTTTTCCACGATACGGGTAGGATATCGGGTAACATGTGAATGGGAAATCCGTCCCGGTACTGGGATAGGTTTCCCTCGACGCACTCACAGGAAAATGTTGCAGAACACATTAGCCTGTTGTTGGTGAAAAAGGTATTGAAACAGTCGGCCTAACAAAGTTATCAAAATGGTTTGATGAAAAAATGAAAAATCTTGAAGGATATGTACCCCTGTCAATCTTTAATGCCTTATGGTTACAACAAGATTTGCTTCGCCAAGCCGCCCGCGCCAAAACAACAAAAGAAAAATTAGACGATTCTTATGTAGGCCTCTCTGTGCCTGAAGAATGGAAGATGAGCTTTGGTGAATGGGTCATGGCTTTTGACCTCTATGTATCTTACTTACCTCATTACGGACACGAAGACCTTGCCAATAAATTTATGATGCATAAGGAGAACATATTTGTGATTCAGTGCCAACAAATGTGCTGGCCAATGGCCTTTAGGTACGACTTAGCAGTTCGGACCACGGTGTTAACTTTCAGAAATGCAGACGGTGATTTGGCGAACCCGGGTATAAGGGACAAAACCTTAGAACAGAACGCCCTCCAAGACTCAGAGCGTTTACAAGACTTCCGCCGCGAATTCGCCGATGTAAATCCGTACGCTGAAGGTCAAGTGAAGCATCATATCAACCCAATCTCAGGTGAAGTGTACAAGAATCAATCCAACCAACAAGGCAACTCCTCTCAATTTAATAGTTTAAACAATCACGGAGTCATGTCTAGCAAGCCTAACGCCCGATCCTGGGCGTATGCCAACAATCAACCGGCCTATGAGGGCCCAGGCAGCTTTGGGTTTCAATCCAACTCTTGGGACGACCGTGGGAGAAGTGGTTACGGACAAAACACTCGAGGGCGGGGTTGTGGTGGAGGATGGCACGATAACTCCAACGGACATGATAACACCCCACCCGGACGTCGTAATCCAGATCGATATGAATCGTGTAGAGGTGAGAGCAGTGGCTCTTGGCGTAGAAATGAGAAACGCAATGACCGCCGTGGCGATGAGTGTGATTATAATACCAAGTTTGGAAATAATGGGAAGGCCAAGTAAGCCATTGAGATACTATTTTGAAAGATTTTTCCCTTCCGCTCTAGCCAAAATACGCACTGCTGGTATTGCCTGCCAACGCGTACATGTCCTCTTCAGTGCCATAGTTCTTGATTTGTACCCAGTGACAACGCCTGAAGCGACCCGCCACAAAAAGCGGTGGCGGGGCGGCGAGGGGGCGGCCGCCCCCGTCGCCGCTACGAAAAATTTTATGCAGCGGGTCCAATTGCCCCGCCACCGCCCTCCCCAGAAAAATCAACATGTAGCGGGACGCGGGATTGGCGAGGCGGGTCAAAATGACGCCCCGCAGCCGCCTGTCAGAGCAGTATGTAGCGGGTATAAACCATATAGTCCATCACCTTTCATTCCCTTTCCACCGCCAAGAAATACGTAAAGACCACTCAATCCTCCGACCGACCTCACTTCGACTCTTCCACACAAGAAACCACCCTCAATACATCCAACTAACCTTCACTAACCTCCACTTTGGTATCAGCACGTTTTCAAAGTTTGAATTGGGAGGGAACTCGGAGTCGAATCAGCCTTTAAGTAGCCAAATCTTATCATATCAACAATAACTAACAAGAACAAGATATCATCAGACATAGGTGAATGGGCATATTGTTTATCATTTGTTTTATCAGCACGTTTTCAAAGTTTGAATCGGGAAATCGGAGTCGAATCAGCTAAGTAGCCAAATCTTATCATATCAACAATAACAAGATATCATCGAGGTGAACGGGTATCGACTATCATTTGTCTTTATTGATTTCATTCATTCCTCACGTATACTGAAGTCGGATACTGATGAGATTCTAGCTTCGAGCTTGTTTTTTCTTGATCCTCATGAATGAGTTTGCCCGTGAAATCAAACCTGTTTAGAACGAGATCGATGACAACATATCATGATGGACCCTATTTTATGTGCTCAGGCCTCTATATAAGGTGAGTGGAGTGACTCTTAATCATTTTATTCTTCCCCAGTTGGACTCGCTTCACAAATTTTCCCTCAGATAATAATAAACTTACAATCATCTTACCATTTTATTTAAATTTTCAACGATCAAATCTCTATTTTGATTCTTTGATATAGTTTAGATACCATGTCTCTTTCCAACTCTACCCTTGCACCTCCTGGTTCTGCTACTAGTACTCGTCCTAATCTTTGTCCAAGAAGTCCTACTGGTCCTAGTGCTAGGCCAGGCTTCGTGATCCAGTCTCCCGATTTACGAGTCTCACTTTGCCATCCTTCGAGTGACTTACCCGAGTCCGATCTTGATCAAAATCCTGGCAGTAGTCCCCATCATCCAGAAGAGCAAGCTGATACCGATGAAGCATCTGTTTCCTCTGTTGATGACGAAGCTGTTTCCGTTGTGGAAATAACCAGCGCCACCGACTTCCTTGCTTCTGTGCGACACAACAAGAAGAAGAATGTTCGTGTTTGACGAGCAAAGGCCAAGGAAGTAGCAAAGGCGAAGTCTCCTCGTGGGCGTGGAAAGGGTCGTCCAAGAGGCTCTGGTGCCTCCGCCAATTTACCTCGAGCAGCAGCGAAGAAACGCAAGACAACTGTTCCTCCTGTTTTTGTAAGTTCAAAGCTCCATTTGGAGATTGTGAGCTATTGAAATTGATCGAACTGATCCTTTTTCATCTTTTCACTTTTCACTTCTCATTCTCATTGTCGTCTTTTTTCTTTCTCTTCTGTTTGTGTCCTTTTTCAAGACTGGTGTCCCATCTGGTGTCCATGTCGATCAAGACTCTGATGTAGAGATTGTGGATAGCGCAGGAGTTCGACGTGCTCAACTTGGGCGTGTTTTGAAGCTTTTGGAGTATTACTATCCTCCAACCCATGTGAAAGGCGAGGTAAGGGTTTCTTTTACAATATTAATATTTCCTCTTTGTGTAATGTTCTGCTCTAATCTTTGCTTTCTTTGTTTGTATGTTTCAGACAGGCGATGATCCTCGAATGTTCAAGTGTCGATGGTGTATGAGCAGGTTCACGCGTGGTCTTCGCACGCACTACAACCTTTACGCCCATCGGGATGGGGCCAAGGGACGAGCAGCCTGCCCTCGAAGATCTGTGGCAATCCAGTCCGGCTGCATCTTACCTCGCACCTGGGCTCAAGAGCAAGCTGATATGGTGGCAGTATCTAACGAAGCCAATGGCCAACCCACTCTCGACTCGTTTTTGTCTCAAGCAACCTTCAGCATTGATTTGTGTAACATCGTTCTAGTCCTTTGGATCTTGAAGCACGCTCTCCGGTTCAACCGTTTCTACGACATGCCGCTTCGTGCTGCTTTCAAGCTGGCCAACCGACAAGCCGAATTGAGAACACCAACCTGGGCCGCTGGTGTTGCCAAGGAGCTGTATCAAAGCTTAAGTTCTGCAGCGATATCTATGGTATATGTAAGTCCATTCTTTGCTTTCATCTCTCTTTTTACATTGTAGTGGTGGTGACGAGGCACTGAGGAACCTCCCAGGTCCATTTCGTGAGAAAGAAGCGGAGCACTCAGCTTCTCGCCTTACACGTAATGCCAGAAGCTGAGCCACGTGTCATGTGAACTCCCAGACAGCGGTTGGGACACGCCAGGCCGGCCCTGGATTACCTCAACCTGTCTAGGTCGAGGTTATCCCATCTCAGGATTAGAACCCCACTTTCGGTTCTGTCTCTCCTGAGATTCGTCTGCTTCCCCTAAACCGCGAAGTCCACATCATCACGTTCCCGCTTCCTTTCCTCCTCTCTTTACGAGAATCCTTTTTCGAACCTTTTTCCGAACAATGAGGTCAAGCAGAAGGAACTTAGGATTAGGTCCCGAGATTACACCAGAACCAACCCCGCCGAACTCAGAAGACGAAAGAGAAATTCAAGAATTTGAAATCGAAAATACATTTGAAGAAGAAGAAAGAAGATTTAGGGAAGACGAAGAAGAACGATTAAGAGAACTTAATACAGTTGAAAACTTATCGTCGGATAAACTATCGTCACAAGATGAAGAACAAGAAATCGTAACTAAGAAAGTAGTCAAGAAAATCAATAAAACGAAAGAAAAGAATATTAACTGGACTTCAGACGAAGATGATGACAAAGACGATTCATCAAAATCAGGTTCAAGCGATAAAGTGGTATTCATGGAACCAAGTAAGCAGCGAATTTACGTGATATATTCTGTAGCGTGATCTATTCCGCAACAGCTACATAATCGTGATTTATTCCGAAAACAAAGCAAAATATAAACCGTGATATATTCCGGCTCATACAAAATAAAAACTAATTGTTGCGGGTTCTTCCGTTTCATTTGGTGTAGTGTTAATAGATAAAGCTTACCAAGCTTTAAACTTAGGTAACGCCAAACTTGCGAAGAAGCTTTTATTGAAAATGAAAATGGAAGAGATGAGCAAGAAGGATATAGAAATTCCAAAAGAAAATCCTTTAGTAAAGTATAAGTCAGGTAGAACAGCGAAAAATACCTTAAAGAAGTTTACCGAATATTGGGACTCACACCTAAAGAAATTAGACATCCATTTTCCGTTGTCGATTTTTAATACAGAATGGATTGAGTTAGATAGCTTGGTAGCAAGTAGAAGTACTTCAAAGAAGAAAGACCGAGCAACTGGACAAATCCCAAAGAACGAGTGGTTCATGACCTTCGCTGATTGGACAAGGGCAAGAATCTTGATGGTAAAATATTTGAAGGAACAATATTTTCATAAAGATTTTGCGAAAGAGTCAGTAATGCATTCCGTTGACGAAGAAGACAATAACTAACTAAAAGTGTTTTTACAGCCTAGAAAAACATTTCGATTATGTCCAAACTCTAGGTGATAGACACGGTTGGATTGTTGCATTTAGATACGACATAGCGGTACGAAATGATGTTACCTGTAATCATATCGACGGAGCGCCAGGAGATCCTAGCGAACATAGACAAGAGTTTCTGGAAGAAGCATTAGCAAGGACGTCGTTCTTACAAGATGGTAGAATATTACCAAAGGATAATCGTTGAGTTAATAATTTATATAAAATTATTAATTATATATGCGCTGTCTGATAACAAACTTTCTGACTATGATTTCAGCTTACGCGAAGGGAAATGCCAAAGAGAAGTACAGCCCGATAACGGGGGTTCGTTACCCGGCTGGGAAAAGCCACGACTCAACAGATTTAGAAGTAGAAGAAGATGGAGATGAGAAGTTTTTGAGAGTTCCAAAATTCAAGAGGTCTGAGGACTTTAGGAGCAATAGACGAAATGACAAGGGGAAAGGTTTGAGATTTGATAGATCAGTTTCACCATACCAACGCCCAGAAAAATGGAAAGGCAGAAACCCAAATTACAAAGGTAATAATTAGTAAGTAGTGATATTGTCAAACTTCTGTAGAATGACAATGAGCTAATAGTGAAAAATTCTTGTTTGATCAGTGACGAGAATTTTGTTCCAGGTATAAAGAAGAAAGACCAAATTGAACTTAAGCAGAGTGAACCTAGACAATCGACGTCAAAGGAGAAACAAACGTAAGCGTTAGAAAGAGTCAGAGGCGTCATAGAATTTGTAAAATTTGTTGTTTAATTATTGTCTTTTGTATTATTAGTAATGAAAATGTTTGTAACGAATCTTTGAAAAGAAAGAGATCAGATTCCACCAAACACCTGAAAATATTTAAGAATGGAATAGATGAGACTTGGCCAACGATAGTGAAATGCGAAATGAATAAATCTGTTTGGGAGAGAGAATTGATAAGATTTGGCTTATTAGATGAGTATCAGTATTTGTTGGATGGTTTTACAGAAGGGTTTCATCAAGGGGTTCCAAAACATTCAATTGGTAATGTCAAATGGTACTGTCCCCCGAATCATTCGTCAGCAAACGAAGCAAGACAAAAGATCGAAGAAAATATAGAAAAGGAGGTTAAGAATGGAAGGATGTTTGGTCCGTTTTCAAAGGAAGAAGTCTACGCGAAACTAGGATTTTTCAGAACGAGTCCTTTAGGCGCGGTAGAAAATGGGGA